TCAAACAATCCACCAGCCTCGGCCTCTCAGAGTGCTAGGATTACAGGCGTGAGCCACCGCGCCCGGCCGTCAATAGTTTTTTTAGTGCCAAGAGTGTGTCTTTGGTTGGCTTCTAGGGCCAGCCATTAAAAAAGAAGAAGAAGATAAAGCAGGATTCTAAATTGTTGTGTTTAGCCTAAGAAGCAGAGCACTTGCACAAACCCTTACTGAGTGCTTATGGATCAGTTTTTTTTAATTGGGAGGCTATACCTTTTACGAGGTGTCAGACAAGAGGCAAAATATATTTGCAGTAACTACCTGAATCAGTGTTCCTTTGGTGACTCTTTGGACATATGTAGACATTGCTATAATAGTGAAGGAGATGGCTTTTAGGTATGGGGGTGGTTAATTGCATCAGTGTTGTATATTGGAACATCTTTAATAATTATATTTTGTTTAAAAATACATATGTATTTATTCTTTCAGATGTTTTTATACCTATGCCAGAGAACTTATTAGTAAATTTAAACGAAAGTAAAGAGGTAAGGCACATTTTGCTACCTGACATGTTTAACTGAAATATTGAAGGAATATATTTTTGAAATGACCTTTAAGTAAAATTTTGCTTCTTGCTGTGACATTTTTAAGATGTGTAGCATTTTATATTTACTCTTAGTTAAAATTCATTAGATGAAGAGCTCTTGAGTTTGACCTTGAGCTGATCATTTTTAAGTCTAATGCAGCAAGTTATTTGTAGTAGAGAAGAAGATAAGCCTGTTCCATAAAGGAAGAACACCTGAAGGAAACCTGTCTTGCCAGCCATTTGGGAAGTTGGGAGGGTTGCTGACATAAAGCTTCTGGTCACTACGTGGAAGCACATTAGCTAGGCTGCTTTCAGTGCCCTTTGCTTTTTTGATTCACAGAGTGTCATTGGGGTCAGTTCAGAAGAAACTCTTATTACCTGCCTGGAAATTGCCATGACATAATGCAGTGAGAGGTGAACAGAATGTGTCTGAAGGGGGGATGTTGTCTACCCTGTACATGCATACATGCCGTAGGGGTAACATTTTAACTAGCAAGTCTATGGTCTCTGCTGTTAGCAATGGTGATTGTGCCATAGTGCCAAGTATTTTTTCCCCATTAACTCTCTTTATTTGTACACCCTAACCTGAATAGGTAGTTTTTTATTTTGTTTTTCTTTTGTAATCATATTACTAGTTGGCAAAGATACTGGATATCTTAGATTTTGCAACAGGGAACAGTTAAACAAACTCACTTTGGAACTTATAAAAATAAAGTTTGTAGAGGTGATGGAGAAGGCCATATTTCATGGCATTAAAATATATCAAATCTCTAAACTGTGATGGTTCTTTTGGATACATTTTGGACTTATAGTCTTGCTGGACTACTGCATGCGCAAGAACTGTAAGGCCCCAACTTTGACATGTCTTGCTTGCCAATTTATAACGTTGACTTAAAATGGCTTTCTTGTCATTTGACCAACTTCATTGTGTCTGTAGATTCTCTGAACGTCATCATGACTCAATGTCTTGTCTATTGTATTAGATACTGACTTAATGTGAAAAAAATTTTTTTAGTTCTAACGCTTTTGAGTTTTCTTGCTTTATTTCACAAGCTTGTCCAAGATTTACTGAAAACTTTGCCGCAAATGTTTACCAAGACTCTGGAAACCCAGAGTGCCCTGGGTCCCGCACTTCAGGCTGCCTTTAAGCTGATGTCCCCCACTGGTGGTCGAATGTCTGTCTTTCAAACACAACTCCCAACTCTTGGAGTGGGAGCCCTGAAACCACGAGAGGAACCCAACCAAAGGTCATCTGCTAAGGTTAGAAAGTTGTAAAATATAAGATTTGTGCTGGTGCTCCTTCCCTTTGAGTACAGAGTTTGTTTGTTTGAGCTTATTTTTCAACTATTGGGAGGAGGGAATATAAGGAAATTACTACAGGGTTTCACTTTTATGTAGACTTTTTTATTTTATTACATTTTCTCTACCTGATTCACCCTCACTTTATTTTTAGTATCTTTGGCAGACCACTAACAATTCAGCCTGCTTTTGATGAGAAAGTCTGGGAGACTAAGAGAATATGCTTGCCAGGGACAAAGATGACCAGTTAGGAATAGACATTATTTGGTCTATTGATGGGCATGGATTTCTTTTGAGCATGTTGTGTGTATAAACTTACAATTTGAGACCTGTGTTTTCCAAAAGATTATGAGAGAGAGGCCAGTATGCTATACTGGTTATGATGTCATTCCTGGGGTTCTACTGCCTATGTTCCACTACTTATTACATGTATGAACTTGAATAATTACATAATTTCTTTGCCCCTTTGTTTCCTTACAAAGAAAGTGAGAATAATGATAGAACCTACCTTTTAGGGTAATTGAAAGGACTAAGTAGATATTACATATGAATTATTAAGAACAGTTTCAGCATACTGAGCATTT